ACGCCGCAGCAAACACCTGACCCGACGCAGCTACCCTACCAGACTCAGCAACTGGAGGAGACGCAGTGGTCAGAGTGTACAGGCTCGACCCCGGCTGACGGGTAAACGTAGCCAGGTGTCGGCCTGTGCTAGCCTCTGTGCAGTGGGTCACTCGCTGACGTGCAGGAGTGAACTGGTGGACACACGCATCCTGTAGGTTAGCACCACTCACCAGGTTCGTCGAGAACGAGGGGAGGTAGAGACCAGACAGGGTGCCAGAGGGAGCCGCCGGACACGGGAGGACTGTGGAGAAGCGAGACAGGACAGGACCCCCAGAGGGGTCAGCCAGAGACACCGCAACCGGCCGACTAAGCGGCGTGAGTGTGGTGCGGTCTCGAAAGAAGGAGCGAGACGCCCCAGAGATAAGGGTGAAGGTGAGGGAGGCCGAAGCCGACGTAGTACCTGAGAGCGCAGACTCACCAGTACCTGAGGACGCAGACACACTAGCACCTAGAGCAGCAGCGTCGCAAGCACCTAGGGCAGCAGCCTCACCAGTACCTAGAGCAGCAGTCTCAATGCCCGGATCGGGCGGGAAACACCGGTAACAGTCACCCTCATCACTAATAGACACAGCATACATGGCAGAGAGAATAGCATCAAAGTCAAGATCAAAGATGGTAACCCCCGCCCTAGACAGCTCGCCCCAGCGAGGGATCTCTGAGGCCTTTGGGAACTGGTGACGCGCGTCCGTCAGGCGGCCAAAGCAGCGCTGGGTGGGGTACGCACCCCCACACTGCTCACCCGCACGGTCCCCGGTGCGCAGGACGTAGGTGCACGGTCCAAAACCCCCACCCCGCTGGCGTGCAGTTTACCACTCACAGAGCTGCTGAGGGGACAGGGTCTCACGACCGCGCTGCTGCTGCTGGCGCGAGCCACCACCGGAGCCACTCCTCTGCAAAGACCTGCGACCAGCTCCTCCGCCACCCCCACCGCCTCCGCCGCCTCCGCCGCCGCCTCCACCGCCGCCTCCTCCGCCACCTCCGCTCCCACCACCACCGCCGCCGCCGCCTCCTCCTCCACTGCCGCCACCGACCCCCCCACCCCCACCTCCACTCCCATTGCCACCCCCACTCCCCCCACCGCCTCCACCTCCACCTCCACCGCCCGCTCCTCCAGCTCCCTTGCCCCCCTTGCCCTTGCCAGGGCGGCGTCTCCCGCTAGGGGCAGACGCCGCACTGACCGACTCAAGACCAAGGAGGTCGGCCGCAGCAACAGAGGCAACAGAGGGCGGCAGGGGGGAGGGAGAACACCCCTCAAAGATGGGGGTGCGCGGGTCACCTCGAGAGGCTCCTACGGTGACTATGCTCTTCTCTATCGCGAGGAGGGCCTTCTCGAGGAGGTCTACAGTGAGTGTGGTGGGACAGACTGAGAGAAAGTGGTCCCTGACTACTCGAAGGGAGTCAGGTAGGCGAGTGACTAGGAAGTACAGAGTGATGTACATGGGGGGGGGGGGTTCGCGGCGCAGAAGTCAGCAGAAAGTGCAGCGCGGTAGCGAGTGTCACTAGTGCAGAGGTGCGTAATGAGGTCAGCTATTGTGGGAAAGGCAGCAAGGTCAGGGAAGAGGTACGGTAGCATGAGACGGCTCAGTGGAGCTGTGGCAGGGGATGAGTAGCGCGCAACTACAGCGTCGTACAAGGTCTGAGCACTCTTGTACTGACTAAAGTGCGCACGTTCAGAGGTAGGGAGGTGGCGACGCACAGCAAGACGCGCAGCAGCATCTCGCGTGGCCCACTGGTAGCGAACAGTGGCGTCAGCATCAGCAGCAGGGGCAGGAGAGGCACCAGAGGTGAGGTCAAAGAGAGAAAGGCCGTCTGCCCTATCGCACTGTAAGAACAGCTGCAGGTCATCGACCCAGACCTCAAAGTCAATGGCGCGACCCTCAGCGTCAAAAGCTAGGACACTAGGGGTAGCCATGACAGCAGTAGACTAGCAGTAGCGACTATAGGACAGGGGCAGTGCAGCGACAGAGGCGCCGTTCTCACCAGACAGGGCGGTTCGGGCAGCTCAGCAGCACAGCAACACGACAGCACTGCCGCTCGGCCGGCCCAGTAGCAACAGCAACTCCGCGGGACCAGCGGCTCGCCTCCTCAGGCGGCTCGGGCGGCTCGGGCGGCGCAGGCGGCTCGGGCGGCTCGGGCGGCATGGGCGGCTCGGGTACGCAGCGGCTCGGGCGGGTCGGGCGGCTCGGCTCCTCAGCGGCTCGGGCGGCTCGGCTCCTCAGCGGCTCAGGCGGCTCGGGCAGCTCGGGTGGCTCAGGAGGCTCGGGCGGCTCGGGCGGCTCAGCTGATACGGGCGGAGTGGGCGGTGCAGGGCGGCGGGGCCGCAAGGGAGGTGGCGGGGCCGCGGTAAAGAATGGCGGCGGGGCCGCAACGAAGGGCGGCAGGGCCGCGACGAAGGGCGGCAGGGGCCGCGACGAAGGGCGGCAGGGCCGCTAAGAAGAGCGGCGGGGCCGCGTCAAGAGAGGCAGCGGGGCCGCAAAGCAGGGTGGCGGGGCCGCAAAGCAGGGTGGCGGGGCCGCAAAGCAGGGTGGCGGGGCCGCGACGAAGGGCGGCAGGGGGCCGCAACGAGGGGCGGCAGGGCCGCGACGACAGAGGCGGCAGGGCCGCGACGAGGGGTGGCGGAGCCGCGACGTCGGGCGGCAGGGCCGCGACGAGAGATGGCGGGGCCGCGACGAAGGGCGGCAGGGCCGCGACGAAGGGCGGCAGGGCCGCGTCGAGAGAGGCGGCGAGGCCGCGACGAGGGGTGGCGGGGCCGCGACGAGAGAGGCGGGGCCGCGACGAAGGGCGGGGCCGCGACTAAGGGCGGGGCCGGGACGAAGGGCAGCGAGGCCTAATCGACGGGCGGCGGGGCCTCTAGGGCGGCTCGACAAAACGAGAGATGGCCCGCAGCGCGACTCAGGGCGAGCGCGCTTCGGGCAAGGAAAAAATCGATGTGGTGGGCCCTAGGCACAGTTCCCACGGGGGAACCTGCTCGATACCATGAGAAAAGTAGAACGAGAATGAATGAACTATGAAAGAAGTGAGTACAAGTACTAACCCTAATTGGGTTGTACCCCTTATGGGATACCCCACTATAGCCTACACAAATGTATAAGCTATATAACATTCTGACACCACGAGCACAGCAGTTCGCCGAAATATTACAGGCAGCACGGACCCGGGCAGCAGACGCAATAAAAAAATCGAACATCATCGCTAAACGCAACGCCGACCGCCACCGCAGACCTGTCACTTACCAGCCCGACGACCTAGTTTTACTTGACTCCCAGAACCTCCGCCTGCCCATCACCCCAAAACTCTGTCCCCGATATTGTGGAGCATTTCGCATCAGCCATATGATCACACCCGTCACCGCCCACCTCCTCCTCCCTGCTGACTGGTACGTGAGCCCCTCATTTTACGTAAGCCTACCGTATTCTCTCGGATGAAACACCCTAGGGTATTATGAAAACCACTAAGAAAAAATGGGGGGGGGTCTCCTCAAAGGAAAATCCTACATAACACCCGGGTCTTATTATATGGTATATTTTTTATAAAGTAGAAAAGATGTGAAACAAAATCAGGGGCCTGACTCCACTTCAAGATTGTTGACCAGTGCCGCAAAAGCGAGTATACGAGGATAACGTGACTGCCCACTTGAATCTGCCACGTGGCAAATTCGAGTGGGCAATTCTGGCAATTGATAGGGTGAAAACAAAGCCAATTGCGTGGCGAGGGTTCATGCAACCGCCGAGGCCAGAATCGCGCACGTTGGTGCGTTCTTACTGTACCAGTCACTTCTTGACTGGTTTGGTCACGTGTTTGTGCCTCATGTGAGAAGGTGATTTTCACCTATTGGGCCACTTGCAGCGGAAGATTTGCCTGCTTGGCGATATCGAGATTGTGAGAGGAAGAAATCTTGGCAGATTCTAAATGAAAGTACACGCGAAATTTCACCTAGGGAGCAATTCTCGCGATATCTTCCCGTAAGGAATCGGACTCGATAACACCTATAATATGAATCTATAAGAAAAAGGGGGTGTTATAAAAAATCACCCCAAAAAGGGGGGTATAGTACAAACGGGGTCGGATATAACACCCACCCTGTATTAGCTACCCGGGGGTGTACAATTACGGGGGGTGTTTTATCCGGGAGAATACGGTACTTCGCCCTTACGTCCCGTCCACAAGCCAACTTCCACGCACTCGCCCAGCCATCATGATACGACCGCCGAACCAATCATCACCCCCGAAAAAATACTAAGCCACCGAGTTCGTGACCCTCGAGGGGCCCGAAGAATCGAGTTCGTGATCCGCTGGAAAGATCATACACCCACCGAAGACAACTGGGTTCCCCTGGAAAGAATCGAAAACCACCCCGTCCTCACCGAGTACCTGCGCAGCCGAAACTTCAGGGATGTACACGCACTTTCGTAAGGAGGATTTCCTTAGGGGGGGGGGGGGTAGTATATGGAAAATTCCTTTCCTTCGTGTCCCCACTTAGCGCGTACACCACTGTAGCACCACAGCCAGCACCGTTACCACTCGCGACTCTCGCATCGACAATCCTTCCGCCACCTTCGCACGTCGCACCCCGGCCCCACGGCTCGACGGGTAACCCGCGCTCCGGGCCTCTGCTTCGACACTACTCCCAACCTCAAGTCCCAGGCCCGTCACGCGACAATCATAGTCCATTACCGTTACCACTGTAGTTTCGCTATATATTCGCCGCTCATGCCTTCGCTCATCGTACTCTTGCTTCAATAGTGCAATTCTCGTTCATTCACTCAATTGCACTCGCAACACTGGATAAGTTGTGACGTGCGGCGTGACTTGTACGGTACTAGGTGGGAGGTAGCTTGAAGAAACGGGATTACCATTAATTTGCAGGTTTCTATACATTAGCGGAGAGAGCTTGATTCTCGAATTGGAAAAAGAGCAGGTCACCCTCCTGGCCTGAATATCTTGTTGATTAAATCACCAATGCCATTTTTTTGCGGCTTCTTTGGAGGGGGTGCTCGCTTTGGAGGAGGGGGTGAAGGAGGAGATGGTGGAGGAGGGGGTGAAGGAGGAGGAGATGGTGGGGGCGGCGGGGAAGGGGGAGGAGATGGCGGAGGTGGTGAGGGTGGAGGGGAAGGGGGAGGCGAAGGAGGTGGAGGAGGGCTAGGAGGTGGTGGAGGTGATGGGGGTCTAGGCGGTGGTGGGGGTGGTGAGTATGGGATGGTTAGCGCACACGAGCCAGAAATGAGGTCCCAGTTTTGCTGGATGAGGAATTTGGAGCCATTGACCCCCACCAGGTTGTACTTAATGCCAGCTGCTTCAGAGCCAAAAGGGGCAAACCTGCCAGATGAATGAAAAGCCGGGGGAAGGCCACCGTTACTGAAAATGTGGTAGAGTGGAAGTGTTAGCATCAGCGCTTGGTCGAAAGAAATCGACGAAGTATACAAGGTATGAGAAGGTGACAGAGCGGCAATGGCTGCTCACTTCCAGGCGCACTTGTCGGCGTTCTCATAGCCGTCCCCGTCGAACCACGTGGAGATGAAGGGACTGGAGGTGGCCTCTGCAAACTCGTGGGCGAAGACAGAGACGAGGCCATCCATGCCTGGGTCGCCCGTGGGGGCGAGAGAGGTGTTGTTGCGAATGTCACTGGGGATGCAGGACGAGGGGCACTGCACAAACGAGAAACGGAATGAGTAGGCGAGTGATCAGGTGAGTTTGGCCGCAGAGCAAGGTATGCTGGCGAGGTTGAAAAACCGTGATTAATGATCTCCAGTTCACGACTCACGAGCAGGTTAGCCTTGCCGACCCAAGAGTAAACGTAGTCGCCGTACATGTCGGCCCATGCGTAGTAGTGCCACCCACAGAAGTCCGTGCAAAACTTCTGAGACGTGCTCTGGTTGCCCCATTTCTGCGAAAGCAGCATTGACAAACATACAGGAAGTGAGGATCACCATAACATGGCATCACACCACATGCTGCATCGGCGAGATGCACACCACATCCTGTGGGATTGCCTTCACTCAGCACACCTGAGTGACAAACTGGTCCGAGAGGAGGAAATAGACGGCACCAGGGTCGTGGGGCAGTTTTTGGCTGCTAATGGCCGACCCAAGCAGGCTCTCCACTTGGCTTGAAAGCAGCGTCTTGCCTTTGCTGTACGCTCTGTCCTCCACCTCGCCTCCCCACGTCACGGATTGCGATATGTGGTTACCATCCTTGTCGTAGTAGAGCCTGTTGATGTTCCACCACAATGGAACTGAAAGTACCAAACAGCATAAATAGGATACGCAAGGACGAGCATGCTTGAATTGCTGCACTTATACTCGAAGTTCTAATACAGCATAGGTACACCCAAGGACGAGCATGCTTGAACACACACGCATGCTTGAAGGATTTCGGCGAGCCTTTTCCGAGGGTTCGTGGTTTTGTAACAGGGTTGACATGTGAATCTCGCATTCCACGGCGACTACTTGGCAACGCGCTTCTTCTCTGCGAATCCTTCAGAGACCCACCAGTGACGGCGGTGTCAGCGTTGGGGCTGAGCGACGCGACGAAGGAGCGAAGCGTCTGCTTCTGAGCGTCGGAGAACACGCCGTACCACAGCACGAACACACGTATCGGCCGATTCAGCACGCCGCACTTGTTCCAACACCCTGGCACCCATCGCGGGTAGATCCCGATGGGCTCCGAGCTACCCAGGTTCGTCGCACGGCGGCCCGTCGTCGCCGCACTGCCTTGACCTTCCCTGAGATGGGCGAGCGCGTAATGCAGGGCTGTACGGTTACGGCCAAGGAAGCGGATCTTATGTGAAGCGGAAACAAAGAATTCCAGGAGACGGCGGCGTTACCGCCTCAGCTAGCATTCCGTTCTTTATAGCTCAGACCGGCGCAACCAGAACAAGGACGCACCTCGATATGATCGGCGCGATTCCGGGCCGGCGAGCCCCGGCATTCGGATCACGATGTCCCGCGGCTCCCACTGGCGGTGGCCGTGATGGCTGCGGGAGGGGCGGAGCAGGCTGCAGCCCCGCGGATGCTCGGCTGTTTGGTAGTAAAGGGGTGGGATTCGCAGGAGGTGCTGGCGGCGGGTGCGCACGAAGCGCCGCTGATCCTTGAGTGGACCACAGGTGCTGCCGCAACACACGGGACGAACGAACAGTACTACGAGGAGGCTGGACGAGTGCATGAGGAATTAAGTTCGTATTACGACTACTACTGCCAGCCTTGGCTTCTGACACGCCTCTGAGGAGAACTGCTAGAATAAAAGCTGTCAGCACAAACTGCGGGTTTGCTCTCCGTGGTTCAACGCTTTGCATCATGGCGCGATTCGCATGTAAACAGTGTCACTACAACTCAAGGAGCATTGCTAATAGCAATGCGGGTACTCTCAGTCGAGGTGACAGGTATGTCCGTGCTAGGCTGGAAGTGTCCTGTTCACGAGGTTCGCCGCAGTTTAGAACGAGAATGGGAATCCTCGCACTTCGAATGCACGCAGCAGACTAACTAATTGGCGCGTAATTCTGCGAGATAAGGCCATGGAGTGAAGGAACGGTGCATTGAGACCAGACACGCCAAGGCAAAGGTTATCGCTGATAACTGCACGAAGTTGGCAAACATGTAGTCGTGTGAATGCGCCATTCGACTAGAACCAGAGTGATGCGAGAGGCCTTGGTCCAGTCTATACTGTACAGTTTCTGTACCCTGGTCTGATCGTGGGGCTCTGGTGTGGTGAGGTGAGGTGATGCGATGATCAAGGCGCCGTTCGATTGCACTGTAATTTTTTGTACAGCCACATCACAGTGTGTCCGAGTCGCCCCTAGGGTTTCCGAACCTAGGGTCACTTCACGACATATTCAACTTGCTGGCAACACAATCTTGCTTCACCATTGTTCAGATTTGACAGCTGTGGAAACAAACAAATCCCACACAGTCAAAACCGCGTTCACCACAAGTAAAACAACGAGCTACAAAATTGTGCATTAAATGCACTACATGACAACAGGGGCACTAGTACCGGCTGCAATCTCTTCCCCAAGACTCCTGGAGGCCACAGCTGCTTACCCCTCCGTCCAACTCCGAGCTGTGAGAGATAGAAAAAAAAAACCAAAGGGGTTGAATCGGAAACTCCCCGTCATCCTCCTGAACCAAGCACATCCAGGATGATGTGGCGTCTCGTTTCTGCTGAGGTACACCGTGTCGCGCGCCTCGACGAGGTCGTAAATGAGTGGTCGATGTACGTAAGTTGTGATCCCGCAGTGGGTAATATACGCGACTTTTGAGGCGGGTCCAAATACGTTCCACAGCACCGCTACCCTAGGAAGCGCTCATTGCTGTGCTCATTCGAAGGAATGAGGATCGAGTGAGCTAACAGCGGAGAGATGAGTTCGGTTGAAACGGGGAGTGTTCTTGGTAGAACCAATACCTTCGATTCAGGTTGGGGCAGAAGGGGGCGAAGTTCAATCTACCCAGAGCCCTGCCCGAACTCTTTACACCTTCAAAGTGGCATTGGGGAGGCTGTCGTTGTTGCAGCTAGTGGAAACCAAGCCTTTTTTGCCCGTGAAGTACTGTTGCTTGACCAGCAGGCAACAGTGTTTTTACCGCGGTCCGCAGCGAAAATTACCGCACCAGATTCGTAGGTGGGCCGAACGTACTTCAGGTTCTGGTTCGGATATGCCTAACCTCTCGTGGGGTTTAAAGCCCAGGTGTGCTGCTGTCGAGCCTTTACCGAACCACGCAATACTGTGATAGGGCTGTGGTTACCCCTGGACTGTGAAGCTATCGAACGGCGCCCAACTTCTCATGTTGATGACTAGCTCCCCTTCTGTGTGCAGTTTTCCTTCCTCTTGCTCATCTTCACTGTATGTGAACTGCTTTCCGCCGCCAAAATGGTGGCCCCATTATGATGGTGCCCTTTAGGAGGAGAGGTGAGGTGAGGTAAGGTAGGGTGAGGTGGGGTGAAGTGGGATGGTCTTATTTTGCCTGCGCCTGAGGGAGTCGAGTCGAGTTGAGTTCCTCCCTCACACCTCATCCAAATTATCAAATCATGCGCAGTGCAGCCCATTGGACTGCTGTGAGAATCTCGCAAAGGGGATGTGCGGTGCAGTGCAAGCCCCGTGATGAAACAGATTTCATGAAAGAGCTGCCACCCTGGCGAAAATCTGGCGAAGATAAAACTCAGGAACGCAACATCCAGCTGTAACCAGCAGAGGAGATAAAATGGTCCACCTGTCCGATCTCGTAAAACCTCCCAACCCCCTCTTCCACCAACTCCACTCCGCTCCTACCTCAACCCCAAAGAACACCAACCGTGCCCCATTTTCCCCCGCCTCCCCCACCCTATCACCCCACCTGCTCAATCTCTTGTGGGCAGATAGGCGACATGGCATATCGCGACGCCTCAACACAGTATCAGCCAGCCGCATGAAAGACAGGGTGACGCATGCAAGTTCCTTGCCGAGCCCAGCTGACAGGCGTGGCGATGATGAACAGATCACTCTTTGGGGTGTGGCTGGTCAAAGAATGAGGTGGTCCTGGTCCCGAACCGAAATGCTAAGCGGCGCTGTACGCACGATATTCCCGAGCCTAGCGTGCATGTGAACCAGAAACTTGAGATGTGTGCTGCTCCGGCGTGTTGTCGTATCCAAACCCGAATCGACCATACCTAGCATGACTGCCAGCCAGGTGGTCATAGCAGAGCCACAGTCAACATCCCCCCAGCCAACAAGAACCCACGCCCAAGGTTTGTCTTGCTTGAACATGGTTACCACAAGAAGTCGCGATATTTTTGTCGCCAAACATGGGGTCAGCCAAGAATGACCGTTGACCGCACACACAGTTCACCCTGCGGTCTGTATCGCGTTTACACCCTCTTTCTCATTACACTGAACTGTGCTGAACTGATGGAAAACCTAGTTACCTTCGATTTGTCTGATTGAACCATACCTAGACTTAATCTAACCACCGTTAACCGTGCTTTTCCCATCTTGACTTCACTATAACCGAATTCACAATGGCGAGAAAGAGGGTGTACTAAGAACGAAACCATCAGCCTCTGACTGCTCGCACTGCTATGGCAACTGTCCTGCGGTTGGCACAGTCGGCTGCCATGGCACCAAAACGGCGTAAGTAGCGAGTCTCCGAAAATGTGAAATCTATGGCGAGGGAGCCTTTCTTCCGCCAGACTACCACCCGAGCCAGCGGTCACGAGCGACGGAAGCGCTGCTCGTTGATTTCGCCATCGACGTCACAATGACCCGCGAGTGCCGGAGAGCGTGTTAGAGAGACATCCTCAGGCGCATTGTTCATCCGAGACGCCGTTTGCGGCTCGCCGCCAGCCCACAAAGCCTAATAATGAGTCATTTGCTACTATTGCTGCTAATTAGTACCCTCGTCGTCGGCATTGCTAGCTCTGAAGGCGACAATCGCGCAACACGTTCCCAGCGGACCTACCACCCGACCCTTTCCCGTAGCCTGCTGTCGTCGACGAATCGCCATGACGGTATCCGCAGCGCAGGCCGGCCAACCGTACGGCGACTGTCGCCAGATGACTCGCCAGGTGACACGGCGAATGATGGCACGTACGACGACGCGGCGGATGCGATCAAGGAAAGCGGAAGCGCGCGAATGTCGGTGCGGGTAGGAAAGGGCGGCGCGGTGGGCGAGGATGGGACGGCGAACGGGAAGCGGCAGGAGATGGTATGGCTGCGGCGAGGCATGGCCGCTGCGAGGGGCGAGGCGCGCGTAGTGGATGCGGTTGCTTCCGGCAGCGGCGGCAGCAGCGGCGGCAGCAGTGGCGGCAGCGGCAGCGGCGACATCAGCAATGGCGGCATCAGCAATGGCGGCAGCGGCACCAGTGGCGGCAGCAGCACCAGTGACGGCAGCAGCAGTGGTGGCAGCAGTGGCGGCCGCAGCGGTGGCGGCAGCAGCAGTGGCGGCAGCAGCGGTGGCGGCGGCAGCAGCGGTGGCGGCAGCAGAGGCGGCAGAGGTAGTGGCGGCAGAGGTAGTGGCGGCAGCGGCGATAAACCCTCACAGGTGCAGGAGGAGGGGACGCGCCCAACGTCGCAGCCGAATCAGCTGCAGCAGCTGCAGCCGCAGGGAGTCACAGCAGCAGGAAAGAAGCCGCCTCGCCGCGGCGGCACCGCCCCTCGCCCTATCGGCATTTCGCCGCATTGGCCCGCGAAGCGCAAGAAGAAGTGCGGGCGGCGGTGCGGCGTGATGAATCGCCCCATCGCCATCTACCTGCTGTGGTACGGCGTGTTCTCCGACGCGCAGAAGGCGCTCGTGCGCGCCCTCATCGCGTCGCTCAACCCGTCCGCCGATGCTGCTCTCACTGGTGAGTGGGTGGGTGGGTGGTATGGCGAAGGTTGGCGTCACGAGTGGGTGGGGGATGTTGCGTACGGCTGTGGATTGTTTTTTTTTGTTTACACCGATTCCTCTACCCCTCCCTCATTCATTCTCCCCATCTCCTCTTCTCCCTTCCGGCTCCTCTTCTCCCTTCCACCTCCTCTTCTCCCTTCCCCCTTCTCCCCCCCCCCCACATTCACGACCTTACTCGCCCCCCGCAGTCCCGCTCTGGTGGAACATCAACCGCCTCTACTACGATCGAGACATGAACTACATTTCAGGGAATGTGACTGTAAGGGGCGAGGTGGAGGACACGGGGTATTCCCAAGGGACCATGCTGAGGGACTCCGCTGTGGATACGATCATCCGTAACGCGGTTACCAGCAAGCAACTGCCGTTTGACAAGGACGGGGTGTACTTCGTGCTTTCAGACGAGACTGTCGATCAGGTGAGGCTAAGGGAGGCTGGTGGGTGGGGTCCTGGCGGTCTCTCCAATCCATCCAGCTCCCCCAGCTGACATGATGCTTCGTTCAAATGTTGCTTTCTATGCCAAGGGAAGGCACAAGTCACAGCAACGGCGCGCTTGACCCACATGCCTCACCCTTCCTCATGCCTTCTCCACCTCGGCAGGTGTCAGATGGGCTCGCCTTCTGCTCGGATTACTGCGGTTGGCATTGGTACACCAAGGTGCCGGGGCAGGGCCTGCTCGTGTCCTCTTGGGTTGGCAACGCCGGCTCCAAGGTCAGCAACACCTGCCTGTGTCCCATCCACATCCCACCCTCTCCGCCCATCCTTTCTGTGCGCATCCCCCATGCATAGACTCCTTCTGCTCCCATCTCCCGGCCACCTTAATCCTCACTTTTTTTCTTCTCCTGATCCCCATGCTCCTGGCAACAGTGTCGCTCCAGCTGTATTGTCTCGCAGCTCTTCAGCAGCCCCGGCCACTCTCCCAACGGGGACGTGGGCATGGATGGGCTGCTGTCTGTGTTCGCCCATGAGCTTGCAGAGGCCACCTCCGACCCGTTCATGTCGGCGTGGTTCGACAGTGATGGCGAGGAGAACGCCGACAAGTGCGCCTGGGAGTAAGCACACCTGCTCGCTTGCATCCCTTCTTCTCACAGCCTTTCCTTGCCTGTTGAGTGTTCAGCAGTGCCTGTAAGGTATGTTTTGCTCACTCACTTTCTCCCTTCCTCCCGCCGTCCACTCCATGGTCTGCCCCGTGCAGGTTTGGGGACATGCTGTTTGACTCGCTAGATGGCCCCTTCTACAACCTTGTGGGTGTCAACAACCAGAAGTTCCTTATCCAGCAGAACTGGAACCTTCTAAAAGGAGCATGCGCCTCTACAGTATCATATGCAAACCTCGCTTCCTCCACCACCCCTCCACCTCCTCAGCGAGCCAGTGGGGGGGGAATTGGCGGGCTAATAGGAAGAATAATTGGTGGTCGAGGGTGATGTACGTTGTGGTATACATTGCCATATTACATAATTGATTTTTGTTGGTGGGTAATCTGCCAGTTTTCACACTGTTTGGAGGACTCTACGTACCTTTGCTTTATTACTTTTAGTTGTCTATTTTTGGCAGTAATTTGTTGGGCTGAGTGCCCCTTAGGATCTTTGGTAGGGTTAAAGTCTGAGTAAAGTGATGTAGTCGCGGAAGCGTTTAAGTGAAGTCCTTGAACCACCTTGCGCTGATATGTGAGGGCAAAGTAAGTTGTTTAAAGCAAAGAGATACAAGATTATATATGAATACAGAAAATATGAAGAGATATAGTTATTGTTAGGCCCGACGGCCTAAGTCCGCTAAAGAATTAGCGGGGTCGACTAAGTCGAGGATGAAACGCGGCGGAAGACTTTGGCGAAATAACTATTGGCGAAATAGGCGAAGAAGTTACTGAGTAATTGAAGAAGAGTTGAATGAGAATTGATTGATAATGGCAAGTACAAGCAAGGTTTATATAGCATGCAAGAAACAAGGTTGGAAAGTGGAATGTGGGACCAAGAATTGGAGTGCAAGAAAAGTAGAGTGCCACGTGGCACTAGAGAATCTGAGAAGATAAGGATAATGGTGACTAGGAATGTACTGTTCGGAATGAACAGTAAACACCCCTCTAACACTACCCCCCTCCCAAGGAGGCGACGTCCGCGGCGCCTGGAGACTGAAGGTACGCTTGGAGGCAAGCGTCGTCAGGAGACAGCGAGGACGAAGGAACCCAGCTGTCGTCTGCTGCGTCGTAACCACGCCAACGAACCAAGAAGTCGATGAAAGTGACACCCCCCTGGAGACGGCGACGGTGCCTGAGGATGCGCTGGATCTGGTAGTCGGGCTCGTCGGTGTCAACAGCTACCGGAAGTGGAGTGCGATCACGGCCCGAGAAGGTGGCGTTGGGATCGGTGTATGGGCGAAGGAGAGACACGTGGAATGACGGGTGCATGCGGAAATGTGCGGGAAGGCGAAGGCGGTATGCGACTGGACCTAGTGCGCGCTCAATGACGAATGGACCAATGAAATGTGGACGAAGCTTGTTGTCCTGTGGCAGTCGGAGGTTGCGGCTATCCAAGAGAACACGGTCGCCGACTGCGAACGACACCTCACGACGACTGCGGTTGGTGGTGCGTGCCATGCGTGCATTTGCGAGCTCAAGGTGCTTCCTCACGTGATCATGAATGAAGGTGAGATGCTGGTGGAAGTTGTCCGCACGAGGGACTGTGGGTGTGAGATCGACACGAGTGGGGACATTGGGGTGCTGACCGTAAAGTGCAAAGAACGGTGACATGCCTGTGGCGGAGTGGTGCGTGTTGTTGTAGGCGAACTCTGCCATGCTCAGCTTCTTGTCCCATGCGGCTGCGTCGTGCATCGTGATGCTGCGAAGGATCTGCTCCAAGGTCTGGTTCACACGCTCGGTCTGTCCGTCTGTCTCTGGGTGGTACGCAGACGACATGGCTAAGCGAGTCCCAAACAGTGCGAAAAGCTGCTTCCAGAACTTCGAAGTGAAACGAGGGTCGCGGTCTGAGATGATGGAATCTGGAACCCCGTGCAGTCGGACTACGTTATCTACGAACAGCGTCGCGGCTTCCTTTGCTGTGACCTTGCCGTGCGTGGGGATGAAATGCGCTGCTCGAGAAAACTTATCCACTACTACGAAGATGGCGTCGTGACCCCTAACTGTGCGCGGTAAAGCCATGATGAAGTCCATGGTAACTACCTGCCAAGGGCGGTCGGGCGGTGGAATCGGCTGCAAGAGTCCTGCTTTGCGCTGGCGAGAGGACTTCGTACGCTGACACGTGTCGCACGAGCGAATGTAATCCTCTACGTCTGCTGCAAGCCCGGGCCAGTAGGACGTGCGACTAAGCGTCTTAGCCGTCTTATCTGCTCCGAAGTGCCCTGCACTAACTACGTCGTGCGCCTCTGAGAGAAGGAGCTGCCGAAGAGGGCGGTAGGCTGGAACCCAAATCCGTGTGGTACCCTTCCGTATGTAGACACTACCCTACACCTCTGCTCTTGCGGGCGGCTGCGGTGTGAAGTCGGGATCTACTGTGTAACCGTGCTCGAAGAGTGCTGTGAGAAGTGGGTGGCCAGCAGTGACTGTGAGACTGGCGAGCTGACAACTAGGGCGAGTGAGCGGATCTGCTGGGTTGCGTACGCCTGGCTTGTACTCTATCCTGTAGTGAAAGCTCCCTTCCATGAACTCCATCCACCTAGCCTGGCGACGACTCAGCTGCGGCTGCGACTTGAGGAAACGAAGCGAACAGTGGTCCGTGCGTATAACACTATCTGCCCCCTCTAGGTAGCACCTCCACACCTTATACGCATGGATGATCGCGAGCGCCTCCTTGTGGTGTATGGGATAGTTCAACTCCGCTCCCCTAAGCTTACGCGACTCGTACACGATCGGCTGCAACCCGCGTCCCTGGTCCTGAAGAAGCACTGCTCCTATGGCCTGATCGGAAGCGTCGGTCACTACAACGTATGGGCGAGTGGGATCAGGGTACGACAGTGTCGGTGAAGACGTGAGCGACTGCTTCATCTGCTCGAACGCCTGCTGCTGCGCTGGACCCCAAACGTACTCTACGCCCTTCCGAAGTAGGTCGGTGAGTGGACTAGCGATCGATGCGTAACCCTGAACGAAACGACGGTAGTAGTTCGCGAAACCGAGGAAGCTCTGCAACTCCTTACTGAGGTCGGTGCTACCCAATCCTGTACTGCTGCGATCTTCTTCGGGTCAGTCCTAATGCCACTAGCGGAAACAACGTGTCCTAGGAAATCGACCTTAGGAAGAAAGAACTCGCACTTTGACTGCTTCGCGTATAGCTTCTCCCTCCGCAAGACCTCAAAGACCCTCTGCAAGCGTTGCACGTGCTCCTCTTTCGACTTGGACAAGATCAGGATGTCGTCTAGGTAAACGACAACGAACGACCCTAGGAACTCGGAGAGGACTGTGTTCATGAGCGTCTGAAACGTCGTTGGGGCGTTGGTCAATCCGAATGGTAGAACCCTAAACTCGTACAACCCCTGCTTCGTACGAAACGCCGTCTTGTGCTGGTCCTCTGGAACTACTCGAATCTGGTGGTAACCCGAACGAAGGTCGATCTTTGAGAAGACTCTAGCGCCCTGCACTGCATCGAGAAGATCCTCTACCCTCGGCACCGGGAATCTATTCTTGACGGTGGCGGCGTTCAGTGCGCGGTAATCTATGCACATCCGTAACCCTCCGTCTTTCTTGGGTGTGAAAAGTATCGGTGCGGCCCAAGGCAATCTAGATGGCTGTATGAAACCCTGTGCGAGAAAGTGCCTAACTTGCTGCGTCATCTCCTCTGTCTCCGCTGGACTCAACCTCCACTGCGGCTTCGCTACTGGCCTGCTTCCCAGCTCCAACTCTATTTGATGGTCTACTGCTCGGCTGGGAGGTAACCCTGGGGGCAACTCGTCGGGGAAGACGTCTGCGAACTCTGCTAACAGTGCACTCACCTCAGCAGGAAGAGTCGCCTTCTCACTAACTGCTGCGCTCCCTCCTTTCCCCTCCTCAGCTTCCACCTCCTCAAGAAAAACCGCGAAGATCCGTGCCGCACGCTTCACTAACTGTCGCACACGAACAGCATTAATGATAGCTGTGGATGATGTGGCCCCATCGCTCCACTGTGGCAGCTCCCGGAACTCCCCGTCTACCTTGACGCTGCAGCTTCCCTGAGCCCAATCGAACTGAGTGTTAACCGTCCGTAGCCAATCCCTACCGAAGATGAAGTCGTAACCGTCCAGCGTCGCAGAGTCGAAATCACGCCTAACCGTGATTGGTCCTAGCACTACGCACAACTTGCGGATGATCGGTCCTATGTGAAGAGGCGTCCCATCTACCATGCGCGCGTCCTTGAAGTTGACTGCGGAATCTGCTTCGAGATGGAGACGACTAACTAATGAAGACGAAACGAACGAGTTGCTAGCTCCGCTATCTACGAGAATCTTAACAGGAACTCCGCGAAGCTTTCCTAGAAGCACGACTGGACGATCAACAGTGTCTACCTCGTTCTCCGTAGATGACTGCTGCAAAGCCGTCTCCTCTACGTTGGTAGACTTGGCGGGTACGGGAACCTCCACACCAGCTAGCGACCCACTATCTACTGGCGGTTTCCGTTTCCCTGCTGCTGCTTCTTGAACTCTAGGCAGTCCCGCTTCATGTGTCCCGGCTTTTTGCAGTAGTGACAGTTCCCCCTAAATCCCGTTTTCTGTAAGCCGTCACTGTTAACTGCACCAATCTCCATGGGCGACGGTCCGTCTCTCGATCGAGCGTCGTTGATCGGTTTGTATCCCTATCGCGATCGTCACGACCCCGTCGGCTTCGTACTGCGTCGACGCGTTCTGCTGCTGCGACTACCGACTCGAAGGTGGACAATCCGTGAATCGCTATAACCTCCGCTATGTCCGGCTTCAACCCTTCGAGGTAGCGATCGCGCATCTCTGCTTCCGTGATGTCGTCTATTTCGTTGCAGATGCTCAAGAACCGTCGTGTGTACTCCTGGACGTTGCCTATCTGTCGGAAATGACGCAGACGCTTCCTAGCAGCTTCGGAGGCGTTCACTAAATCGAACCAA